TTTTGTAACAAGATAAATAATATTACATAGCAAACATAAAAAATAACTCGAAGGTACATGGTAAGCGCCGGACGGATTATCTCTTCCGAAATATGTAATTGTTACAGGTAATATAACATTGCTGGAACAAAATTATGTTGTCATAAATATATTTGTGATATAATTTTGCATAATACTTCGTTATAATAACATAAATATTTATGTTTACATTTATATATTGTAAATGTGTAAAATTTTGTTATTATAAAGCGCTATAAGGCGCGGGCCGATATATCGGCTCTGGCACTTCTCGCCGGTGCAACAAGAGCCGATATATCGGCCTCCGGCACCAAAAGGGTTAACACGTTTAAAAATATGGATGCTAACTTTTGAGAAGATTTACTTGTATTTGTTATCTCAGGATACTGATATTATTCTCAGTATAAATAATTTCGTATAAACGTTAAAAAATCACCACATTTCATCACGGCAAAGTGACTTATGCCACTTTCAAAATAAACGGCTCATTTAGATGCTTGGTTTTCTCGTTTTACATCCTGTACAAGACCTGTCCATGGTTTTCCCGCCAAACGGTCTCAGCATATTTGGCGGGTAAGACCGAGAATAATGTTTTGCGAATGCAGCTGTCGCGAATGTTTTATTGAACACTTGTACACGTCGATTTCCTTGCTCGATACACTATAGAAACAGATCGTCTGTTTTACACGCGTTGCATACCAAATGTTTCAACNTATATTATTATTAAATATAATATTATAATTATATTTATAATATTATTTAATAATAATATAATTAATTATAATTTAGTATTAATATAATATAATAATAATAATTATATAATTATATAATAATTATATAATATATATATATTATTATAATAATATATATTACTCTGATTCTAAGCACTATAAAATCAGGATAATTCTGAAAATTGATCTCGATTCGCTAGCTTGAAAATGATCTGAAAATTATATATTTATATAGACCAATTTTTATATATTATTTTTAATATAATAATATTATAATAATATTATATATATTATTATAATTATATATATATATATTATATAATATAATTATTATATTTCACGATCGCATCGCTTAAATCGATATTCTTTAAAGGCAACTGTGTATATAGTTTTATTTGCATGCAATGAATTTGCCTTGAAATACATTACGGTTGGACTAGATTCGCTCTTTTCGAAGCGGTCGTTTCACCTTTTTTGTTCTTCATACTTTTAATTGCGGAGCACTGGAAGTTGTTCAAGGTGTGAATCACCGAACAGCAGTTCTCCACTTATCTTTTATTCGAATAAAATTGTAGTCGGTGCTCGGTTAGCGGAATTTTTTTGTGGAGCTTCTATTATTCGAACTGTATGTACTGTTGAATATGTTACGTACGAGGACTTCCTGCGTGATTTTCTTCTCGAAACATGTACACACACACACACACACACACACGCGCGCGCGCGCGCGCGCGCACGCACGCACGCATGCACGCACGCACGCACACACACACACACACACACAGACACACTCTGTCCCAAGGAGCTTTGAATATGATTATTTTTCTGTGTAATTGCTTCGCAAATATCCTCTCGATAGTTATCTCCTCTCGAGCATAGTTATCGACATAATTTATTTATTATTCTCTCTATTAGGTCCGGTACTGTATCCTAATTACAAAATAAAGGACGTATTAATTTATTAAAGATTATGGAATTGTTTCTGTAAATTCATTCCCCAATTCGTAAGGTTCGAAATGTTACCATTAAATTGCGAACGTCGTGAAACGTGTGAAGCCTGTCGATTGCTACCGAATTATCTAATCATCTAATCTTCTGATAGAGATACACAATGCATCGCACTCGAGAACAAGTTCTATCAGCGCTAATAGACTCTCACCCTAAAATGTTACAGCACAATTTCCGACGTATCGACCCTCGTGGAAATGTTTCGCTTGTGTTCCACGTACATACCGGGTGACGCAAAGGTACCATGAACATTATCAGTATGTACTTTTTGTTATCGATCGATCCGTATCGAACGTAGAAAATAATATTGCATGCGCATTGCAAATAGAACGGTCACCCGATATGTTACAATTTTACATTATTCTCT